TGCAGCACCCGACTTAGGTGCTCTGATGGTGATGCTGCAGGAACAGGCTCGCCGACAGGAGGAACAGGTCCGTCGGTTGGAAGAGCAGCTGCGGGGTGGACAGGATGAACAGGTCCGCCGACAGGAGGAACAGGTCCGACGACAGGAGGAACAGGTGTGTCAGTTGAAAGAGCAGCTGCAGAGCGGACAAGAGGAACAGGCCCGTCGGTTGGAAGAGCAAATGCTCCTTATGAAGGACCTTCATGCTACCTTTGGGAAAGAGATGAGGGAGGTGAAGGATAGGGTTGCTCAACATGACAACCGCCTGACGGAAGCTGAAACTCAAATCAAGGAAGCTAAAACCCAAATCGACCAAGTGAACAATCGGGTTGATAACGTGATGGCTGACGTGAAGAAAACGCTGGACGACCTCAAACTTGTGGATGGCACAACAGCTCCCGTAGTAGCTACAACACCTTCGCTACGTGGATTCAAAGTGCCGCCGTTCGACGGGACTTCTTCCTGGTCGGCCTACAAAATCCAGTTCGAGGCCGTCATGGAGGCGAACGGCTGGAATAAAAGCCAAGCCATGACTGCACTCACCCTAGGCCTACGTGACCAAGCCTTAACTGTGTTGGAAGCTCTCGGTAAGAAAGTGACCTAAGAGCAGCTCCTTGAGGCGTTGGAGACGAGATATGGCGACGCTCACCTGGAACACGTCTTTCGCGGGCAGCTTAAAGATCGCGTGCAACGCAGCAACGAAAACCTGCAGCAGTGGGCCCTTGAGGTGGAGCAGATGGTTCGAAAAGCATACCTCTGTCTGTACCTGCGCTCATTGAAGGGAACCTGCTTCAGACATTCATCGACGGCATCCGCGACCTTGAAGTCAGAGCTGCTGTGAGGCTCGGGCACCACGAGACGCTTAAGGACGCCTTGGCCCATGCACTGGAGGTGGAAGCCGTGCGGGAGGATATGCACTTCCATCGCGTCAGGGAGGTTGCAGCAGCTACGGTTCGCGACCGCAATAAAGGATACAGCCCTAGGTGCCATGGCTGTGGGGAAAGGGGCCATCTTCGATCCAGCTGCCCTAAGCGAACTGTAGAAAGGGGAAGTTGATCGATCTCGAGAGGGTACTGCAGCTAACAGCACTGCCTGGCGGTGGCAGAATCGTCGTTCTCCTCGCGCTAGGGAGGTTGCAGCAGTTACAATTCGCGACCACAATAAAGGATACAGCCCTAGTTGCTATGGCTGTGGGGAAAGGGGCCATCTTCGATCCAGCTGCCCTAATCGAACCCTAGAAAGGGAAGGTGAACGATCTCAGAAGGGAAGTGCGGCTAATATCACCGCCCAGCAGTAGCCGGGATACGACTTTACTATCAGACATCGCAGCGGAAATCTCATGGCAACGCAGATGCATTGTCAAGAAGACCTTGTCATGAAGATTGGAAACATTGTACTAGGCAAGAGAGTAAGGGAGTGGTATCCGTGAGGATGCTCAGGACAGACCACCTCAGCAACGAGTGGAAGGACAGCCTACGATATGCACAGCAAGAAAAACCGGACATCAAGCCGATTCTGGAATGGATGAAGGCCCGTGCTACCAAGCCTAACTGGAGCGACGTCTCAGCGATGAGTTCAACCACGAAAAACTATTGGGCCCAATGGGATAGCTTGCTGATTCAGGATGGAGTCCTGTGCCGTAAATGGGACAATGGTCGAGGAGACTGCTGTCGTTTGCAAATGGTTGTCCTTAAAGCTAAAGTGCCAAATGTTCTACAGCTGTGCCATAATGGTCGTTCAAGAGTCCATCTGGGAGTTAAACGAACTCTACTGAAGGTCCGAGAACAGTTTTACTGGGTTCATTATCGTGACGATGTCGAGGATTGGTGTCGTACATGTACAAGATGTGCGGCTGTGAGGGGACCTCAGACACGTAATAGAGGAGCATCGAAATTGTACAATGTTGGTGCACCATGGGATAGGACAGCCCGTGATATTGCGGAGCCGTTACAGAAAGGCACAAGAGGGACTCCTAAGATCGTCCATGTGGATCGCTTGGCGCGTTATCATGGGGCCGATAATGCTCGGGACGAGTATATCTTAGGAGGGGGCAGTGTTGCGCGCCTAAGTTGACGTCATGTACCCGGCACTAGCGCCATCTAGTGTCGGGGACGACAGCGAGGGGAGCTTTCCAGAAAATGACATCACTAATCTTTCAACCGACAACGCCATCTAATATCGAAACGAAGAACTAAGCTTCTAGAAGCCCGACACTCGAACTTTCGACGCCTTGTCGATTGGCGCGCATATTTACTTGAATATTCTGGATGTTTCGGTAGTATTAAAGGCGCTGCAAGATGCGATCGAGGAAGTATTGAACTTGGCGAGACAAGCGAAGCTTCGGAGCGAAATAAAGTGAATCAGTGTGGTTAATTATTAGTATTCTAAGTTTTAATTAGTGTAAAGTGAATTAAAGAGTTAATTTTGGTAATTCCATCGGCCCCTGATGAAAAACCCTGAGCTCGTAACAATATTATCTTAAGATATTATTTTTGGTAACATATAAGCTATTTTAACATTGCTGTCTTAATTTTTATAGTATTTTGTAATGCTGTGTGACCTATAAGGGTGCACACATCAGTCCTAGATTAGGCCCTTTTTTCAATAAAAATGTAATAATTCGTGCACTACTGGTGTCCTATGAATAAATATATGAATAAATAAATAAAAAATAGAAGTTGATAATTTGTTACTGAAACGATTAAATACTTCATTTAGTCAATATATAATTAGTTTAATCTTATTATATTAATATTTATTTATTAGCCTATGTTTGTCCCTACGCAGGCAACTCTTACAACAACGATCACTATCTATCTAAGCTATTTCTATATCTTTCTGGCATTTACTACTTTCTCCTCTTGCAATACGCACGATACGATTCTATGGTATTGCGATTGTGAATCCGCCTTTCAATCATAACGATTAAGCCAATTGTCTCTACAAAAGGATAGGCCCGTGTTCAGCAATGGTATTTATGGGCTGGAAAGGAAGAAGAAAATTACTACAATTTTTGTTATGTTTTCAAACGCCCAACCTAAGAGATGGTTCGTGAAATCACTAGAGTACAACATTTAAAAGCTACATTGCATAATACGTGGTACGTACGGTACATATACACTCAGAGAGTTTTGTGAACTTAAAAAATGTAGTTAAAATTTTTATTATTAAATATTTTTAAAGAACTTTGCACCAGCATCTTTACAATGTTTCGTGCGTTCGAACCAATTTTTTAAACACTTTTTCTTTTCTGTCTTAGGCAGCTCTTCTAATACTGCAAACCGTATCCATTAAGCTATTTTATTGTTTGCAATTAATCTCGTTTTATTAGCTCGCTTTGGGGACTGAGTGCGCGGCCGCTTTGTTTTTGTTTTTGTATTGTTCGTCATAGTAGCTGAACAATTCTGGAAAACATTTAGTAGTACCATTTGACGTTGATGCAACATTACTTTCATAACGGAGTAGATACCAGATAACTCGTTAAAATGAAAGAAAAAAACTAGCGATCAAAAACTGCTCTTCCCGATCGCTTCACTTTGATAGGCGACGGTTCATTTTGAAATAGCCAAACAGTTGACTGGTCATTCGTTTCTGGATTGTATTGTGAAATTGATATCATCACCTGTAGGCACTAATGTCGTAAATACGCCAGGCAAATTCAGTAAACATGTCGCGGCACCATGTCACACGATCCTGCTTCTGAGTATCGGTGCAAAATTATACTCCTCACGCAAAGATATGTGTAAAATTTCTCCATTCGTAATTAGGCTATTGTTTTTAATTTCATTTCCTTTCGTAAATTTCAAAATAAGCGAGCAAACCGATTTACCACGTGCTCGGCGGTGAAAGAAAATATCGTGAGGAAACCTGCATGTTTGAGAAATAAAAAAAATATTTCGAAGATGTGAAGTTCGCCAACACGCTTTGGGGCAGCAGGGCGGACACTTTCTTACCCTAAAACCCTCTCAGTAATGAAAGGCGGCCTGTGCCCCGGAGTGCGACATATATTATAGGTTGTAGTTAACGTTTCCTTTCGTAATAGCCGTCAATAAGCGACCGTTTCCTCCTTCATATCTCAAAGTTCTATTTTATGTTTTTCTATAAAAGTAGTTGAGTCATGATAAAATCTGTGTTTTTCGATACGAGTAAATATCATTTGAAATGTTAGCAGCCCAGAGTCAGAAAGTTGACGGTATTTAACCCCCGTGCCCCGGAAAGCAAGTAAAGTCTTGGTCGTGATCTCTATCCGTTCGTGTGTGATTACCGTCCCATCGAACTATCACAGTGAGGAAATAGAGAGTTTTTTAAGCAATTTATCGAACGATATGTCCGGTTTTAGACGCAATTTGAAATCGTAACGAAATCATCACGCGAAATATTCCCGGCGTAGATTTATTTTTCATGTAACACAATATTTTAATTTAGCTCGTAAATAAATTTCAAAGGCATTTTGAAATAGGATCATTTAGGTGTAAATAGTCTTGTTATCGAAATAAATTATAACTGATCAGTGACTTCGATAAGAACTGTTTATTTTTAAACTTTCTGATCAATCAATCAATTTACCGGCAATCTTTACTTTTTCGTCTTTTATAAATAAATCAAGTGCAACTAAATACTCCTTTACTACCTAGGATAGTATCTAGGAGTCCATCTGAGCCTCCACCACTCTCCACATCACCAGCTTCCAACTAATTTCTATTATCACATAACAGTGCGTGCACTGCTGAGCTGGAACGCGAAAGGGCAGGGAGAGCCAGTGTAATTACAGGCTGTGACGCATTGCATCTTAGTCCTCAGATGTGAGCATCTGTAGCATTCTTGGTCACTTGTTGTAGTAAATAGGAGGATTGCGAGTTCCTTTTTCGACTTAATCTTATAAAAAATTCTCTTCACGTTTCTGAAAAGAAATTTACTTGTTTAAGAATTGATATGAAATAACATAATAATATAATAAACAGATGGATCCATTATCAACAAAGCAAGAAGTGGTTGCTCGGGTTACTCAAGAACGCGCCTGCAGAGGAGTTCGTGCAAGAAGAACAACTGCTGTTGAAGTTTCTGAGGAAGGCGCTGCTCTTATATCAGAATGCTTTCACTTCAGACTCCGGCCCGATGAGTTGCATACTACTTGCGTCACAGTGCAAGCTCTTCAGCCCCATTCTGTGTATGCAAAAGGTAGATACTTTAAAATTTTATTACATATAATAAAAAAAGTAGTTAGTGAAAAATAATGAAACTTGCCCTAAATTCATTGAGTGATTTGATTTCAATTTCTGAGACAATATTTCTTCATCAATTGAATAGGGGAAGGAGTGTGATAAATAAATTAATGATTAACCACGGACAATTTGTCCATATATCACAAAGTGAAAAACTCGTAATTGCAACAAATGAAGTTTTTCAGCCTGCAGAATAAAAGGAAATTTATCATCATTGTGTATTTGGTTACCAACCCATAAGACTTTTGTGTATAGGACTCTGCTACATATACATACTCTTCTAGTATATCAAGCCATCGTCCACTTCTACAAGTATCTAAATAAGGTTCCTCTGATCAAAGCCATCGTACACTTCGGCCATAATAAAGGGAAGAGGACGATCTGCCACACGATACGAATAAACTTTTTATACGTTATCCTCCTCTTCCCTCCTCTCCTCTTCTCTTTATTATGGCCGAAGTGGACGATGGCTTGATATACTAGAAGAGTATATATATGTAGAGGAGTCCTATACATAAAAGTCCTATACATAAGTGTATAACGTATCGTATCGTGTGTGCGGGGGGTTTATTATGGCCGAAGTGTACGATGGCTTTGATCAGAGGAACCTTATTTAGATAGGTATCAGATTTAGTAGTTAAAAAAAATGATATTTGTCAAACGAAATTTATTTTCGAAAATCGAAGAAATGAGGATATTTTATTTTATTTAATAAAAAAAGTTTTTAAATAAATTTTAAAGCGTTCCCCGATTTCAGAAGCTTTTGTTAATTATTTGGAGCTTTTTATTATTTTTAGTTCTTTGAAGTCGGCTTTTACTTTTTATTAATATAATATTTCACCCTTTTAGGTGGAAAACTGTTGGCCGTGTAGTGGCGGTTTAGAATATCCACTACCCCATATCTTCCCGTGGGTGTCGTAAAAGGTGACAGAGGGAAACAGGCAGGAGATGGGCAGCAGCATCTTCCTGATAACAGCAACTGTACAACAAAAAAAACTGCGGTTGCCAACCCACTCGCCAAGCGTAGCAACTATGGCAATATACCCCCTCCCCCATGAACAATTACACAAATAGACGGTCCCCAGTCCCCGGCGGCCCCGCTATTCCTGGCTACGGTGGCGACCATGGTAACGGCGGGGCAGGGGGTGTTAAGAATCTCCGGTGGAGGATCGGTTGCCACCTACGACGACTCGACCTGGCAGCATTTAACGCACGCACCCTGAGGACTGACGAGAAGATCCTGGAGCTGGAAGAAGAGATAGACAAGTTGCGCTGGAATATTATAGGATTATCCGAGGTCCGAAGAGAGGAGGGAAGGACACGGTGATTCTCGAATGCCACCATCTGTCCCAAGGAGGTGTCGGATTTATCGTCCACAAGTCTCTCTTTAACAACGTTGTACAGATTGTGAGTGTGTCGACGGGGGTCGCGTACCTGATACTCAGAATCATCAAACGGTATTCGCTGAAGGTCATAAAGGTTTACGCACCAACCTCGGCACATCTCGATGAGGAGGTGGAGGAAATGTATGAGGATATTTCCAAAGCCGTGCATTCCTCCAAAACCCACTAAACGGTGTTGATGGGAGACTTCAACGCAAAACTAGGCACAAGAGAAAACGGTGAGCTGAAGTTAGGGAAATTTGGAGTAGGGCAACGGAACCGAAGGGGCCTGAAGCTGGCCGACTTTATGGAGAAAGAAGGACTCTTTATGATGAACTCTTTCTTCCAGAAACGGCCCCACAGGAAGTGGAGGATCCTCCACACACTCCAGGGTCGAGCCCCGACAGTTCGATAAAAAATGAAATTCAATTCATTATGACGACCAGACGCCAACTGTTCAGTGATGTCTCAGTGATCGCAAGGGTGAAAACTGGCAGCGATCACCGAATGGTTAGAGGCACACTGAACCTAAACGTTAAGTTGGAGAGGTCTCGTCTAATAAAATCAACGCTCCGTCCCCCTCGTGCTCTAATCCAGAATCCCAAAAACTTTCAGCTCGCGTTACGTAACCGCTTTCAGTGCCTAGAAGATTGCAATGCAGTGGACGATATGAATGACAAGCTCGTGGAAACTGTCCATGCGGTCGGAGCTAAGTTCTGCAAGACCCGCCGCAGAAGAACACAAAAACTCTCCGATCACACTCTTAATCTCATGGCTGTTAGACAGGAGATGAGGCTGCAATCGTTAACAGATTTGACAGCATACAGGCAACTGAACAGACAGATCTCCAAATGCATGCGGCGAGACTTACGCAACTTTAATACTGCTCGTATTAAAGAAGCGATCGAGCGGAACCAGGGCTCCAAAGTCTTTGCCAGAGATCTGTCTGCCAATAAGAGCCAAAGCGTTAAAGCTGAAGACTGAGTGTGGCAGCATCGTTTCCGAGACGCCTGAGATTTTGAGTGAGATTGAGAGGTTCTATGGGCAGCTGTACACATCATCGTTAGAGCCACACGCAAATGTGAGTAACGATCCAAGAGCAAGTCTTATCCGATACTATTCCGACGATATCCCGGACGTCAGTCTAAGCGAGATTAGAATGGCTCTCCAGCACCTTAAAAACGGCAGGGCCCCAGGCGAGGATGGAATTACAGCGGAGCTTCTGAAAGCGGAGCTTCTGAAAGCGGGTGGAACACCGGTACTTGAAGTTCTTCAGAAGCTCTTCAATTCCGTCCTCCATGGTGGCACTACTCCAGAGGCGTGGAGCAGAAGTGCAGTGGTCTTGTTCTTGAAGAAAGGCAACAACGCTCTCTTGAAGAACTACAGACCGATTTCCCTTCTGAGCCGCGTCTACGTGCTGTTTTCGAGAGTCATTACGAATCGTCTCGCACGCAGACTCGACGACTTCCAGCCTCCCGAACAAGCCGGTTTCCGAAAAGGCTTCAGTACCATAGACCACATACATACCTTGCGGCAGATTGTACAGAAGACTGAAGAGTACAATCTGCCACTTTGCCTGGTGTATGTGGACTATGAGAAAGCCTTTGATTACGTCGAAATTTGGGCGGTGCTACAGTCCCTTCAGCGGTGCCAAGTTGGCTGTCGGTATATCGAAGTGCTGAAGTGTTTGTATAGTAGGGCTACGATGGCTATCCGAGTACAGAACCAGAGTTCGAAACCTATCCAACTGCAGAGAGGTGTAAGACAGGGTGACGTTATGTCCCCGAAACTCTTCACCGCTGCATTGGAAGACGTTTTCAAGCTACTGGACTGGAAAGGATACGGTATTAACATCAATGGCGGGTACATCACTCACCTTCGATTAGCCGACGATATAGTTCTTATGGCAGAATCGCTGGAGGACTTAAGCACTATGCTCAATGACCTCAATAGTGCCTCCCAACGGATAGGTCTTAAGATGAACGTGGACAACACAAAGATTATGTTTAATGTCCATGTCACACCTATGCCGGTAGTTGTTGGGAGCACTATGCTCGAAGTTGTTGACGACTGTTGACTAGGTAAGTCCAACTTCGACCGAGAGGTCAATCGACGGATTCAACTCGGCTGGGCAGCGTTCGGGAAATTAAGACATATCTTCTCCTCAGGTATACCTCAATCTCTAAAAACTAGATTTTACAACCAGTGCGTGTTGCCAGTAATGACTTACGGATCAAAGACGTGGTTCTTCATTGCTGGCCGTATGATGACGCTCAAGGTCGCTCAGCGAGCTGTGGAGAGGGCTATGTTCGGAGTTTCTCTGCGTGATAGACTCAGAAATGAGGATATCCGCAGTAAAACCAGAGTGAACGACTTAGCCCAACGGATTAGTAAGCTGAAGTGGCAATGGGCCGGCCATATAGCTCGAAGAACCGATAACCGATGGGGAAGAAAGGTTCTCGAGTGGCGGCTTGGTACCGGTAGGCGTAGTGTAGGGCGACCCCATACTAGATGGAGTGACGACCTGGTAAGATATGCAGGAAGTCGATGGATGCAGGTGGCTCAGGACCGTGCTTTGTGGCATTACTTGGGGGAGGCCTACGTTCAGCAGTGGACTTGTGAAGGGCTGTAATGATGATGATGATGATGATGATTAGGTGGAAAAGAGTTTTAAAGGAAAGAAAAGTTTTTAAGATAATAACTAAAATTTCGTCTAAATAGTTTCATTAAAAACTTCATTTGCTATATTTCTACCCATGGGGTTAATTTTTCCTCCAAATTTATATGCGACCTAAAGTACTTTTTTAATAAAAAAAGAATAATTAAATATCGGTTCACAATCGAATTGCGATCCATCTTTTGATGTCAGCAAAGGAAAAATAAATGAATGATTAATAATTATATTATTTATTTTCTTTTGCAGATCGATTACTAGGAAAATTTGTATTAGGCTCATACATGTTTGCACGAGGACTGGCGCTACAACATTGGAATTCAGCTCTTGCAAGTCCCATGGAACAGGTTAAGCATTGGCATCCACTGACAAACTAAAGCGATAACCCCGCCAAATCGACATATACGTTTAATTTAGCAAGTAAGAAATATAATATATTATTATGTCTATGTATTTTACTAAAAATCATTCGTCTGTATTAACTATACATTTTTAATTAGAAACTAAACACCTCTTAAGACCTACAAGCACTTTAAATTCTTATTAAATCATATAAGAAGAAAAAGATACAAAAAAACCATTTGGCAAGTTTCTGACAATTTATCCCTTTGTAAAATTTCATGGCATTATTGCAAAATATATTTGTATATAATTCGAAAATCAAATTACAGGTATGGTAAAATTATATTAAGATTAATAAATCTTTCATATTTTTATATTAATTTTTGTAACATTTTATCATTTTGAAACCTTAAAGATAAGTTAGTCCAAAATCATCACACATCGTATATTTAATAATATATTAAGCTTATTTTATAAATGTCTACACACTTAAATTTTGAATTTTTATATGGTATTTGAGGTGTAATGTTTTTTATACATTTAGATTTTTATTATTTAAAGCTTTAAACTTTAAGCACAAACATATATTTAAAAACAATATATTTTTAATTTTAAAAGTTAAATTGAAGTACACTCGTATTTTTTCCTAAGAAAGGAATAGATTTTTTATATCCTTTGCACGTGCCGACTCTTTATCGCGCAGTCGACGCGCGTTTACGGACACACTTTGACAATTGCAAAACACTCATTAAATAGACATGCTGCAACTGTGTTGCGTTCGTAACTCGTTATTTTCTGTTATATAAGATGAAAACCGTATACTAGGATTTTCTTCTGTACGCGGAATCATTTTATATAAGAAAATTCACATAGACAACATATCCAAACTGAGAACAATTATTTGTGGGCTATTTAAATATTTGTCCATCTAGATGGTAATATGAACATAAAAAACAAATCCTTCCCACAATGAAAGTAGTCCAAGATCAGCAATGGACTTTTAAGGGTTAGTGAAGAAGAAGGACTACAATCCGAAACATCAACAAACAGTTGACTACCGAAGTAGGGATGGCGATTCTTTCCGAAGAATATTGATTTTTAAATCGATTCAAATCAAAATCTGATGAATCGATTCAAAAAAATCGTTGTCTAAAAGATCGATTTTTCGACAGATTACCAACGTAATTTTTTTTATTTCATTTAGGAGAGGCGAAATAAACTGTGCACAACACATCAGACTGTTTGTTTGAGTTTTTGAATAGAAAAACTATACTACTAATTTTAAGTAATTTTATGGTACTTATTAAAACAGGCAAAATCGTATTTTGATTTTCTAGGATGAAATATCGATTCACTAGATAGATTCAGTGCTATATATCGATTTAAAAAGTAGTTTTTCGCATGAAATTGATTCTTCTATTGATCGATCTGAGGTCGCCATGCCTAAACCATATAGTAATATAGTCCTATATTAAGCACGTATCATAGTAAGGTCTACGAAACTAAAGCAAAAATATGGTAGGTCTCTAAGATACATAAGCATTATAATAGCTGAGTTGGGTCCTGAAGTCCTATACATAAAAGCCTTATGAAAGTTAGGTCTATCAAATAAAGCTAAAATGTGGTAGTATAACAAATATGTAAAAGCATTATAATGATAGAAATGGGACTTGAAAAGGTTTATTATGGTGTCGCCTAGACTGCATTACCATGACCGAGACCCCGGTAAATGTGGACTCGGTCACAGTAAGGCAGTCTAAACGTGAATCTGTAACCCTGAAGCACTCCAGCTACATGCTTAGCCAATGCGCCCCCGAGTTGTCAATTGCGAGAGACACAAAAACGGTTTAACTGTGCGTGAAAAGTCGCTTTGTGCAAGGATCTACATTCGGAATATGATATGCAAAGCTAAAATATTCAGATATTTAATTATAATCTTACCTACATTGCTTTTTATATAGCTTCTCAAAAAATAATGTAAAATTAAATAATATCTTTATGAAATGTTATTTATTATTACAGAAATATATAATCGATTTATCATATATGTACGTAGTGAGTATAATTTTACTTATGTGAAATGAAGCAAGAATAAAATGTGTAATGCCAAATTGGCTGTATAAAGTTGTTTTATTTCATAGCTCTTATCCTGAGGTAAAATGACGTTTAAAAAACATACATTTTAAAATTTTCCTATTTATATTTTAGTAAGATGAGAAAATCCAATACTGAGCTGATTCTATTTAGTATTACCTTTGCAAATACCTTGTATAGATTGGAGATGAGGCTGATCGGTCTGTAATTATTTATTTCTAATATAACATGGCAAAGAGAAGCTGCACACAAAGAAATATGGAAACCCTAGAGGAGGCCTATGCCAAATGGCAAGCTGATGATGATGATGATGATGAAGCTGACGGTAATGATAATAACGTTACCGATGTCGAAGATTAAATTGAATTGTTATTATAAAATATAATTTAGTAGTTACAATAAATTTTAAAATGTTGCAATAATAATAATTCTCCAAATTGTAATATATTATCAGAAATAAAGGCTATTTGAATTTGAATTTGAAGATGAGAAAATAGATCAGCCTTTCTTCTTCTTTTCTTTGATATGCCTGATACTATTAAAATTTTATACCTCTAGTAATTGCTCAGACAAAATTTTATGAAATTAAATAATAACTTTGGCCTCCCAATACATGCGTGTGTGCGTGCGTGCGTGCGTGCGTGCGTGCGTGCGTGCGTGCGTGCGTGCGTGCGTGTGTGTGTGTGTGTGCGTGCGTGCGTGCGTGTGTGCGTGTGTGTGTGTGTGCGTGTGTGCGTGCGTGCGTGTGTGTGTGTGTGTGTGTGTGTGTGTGTGTGTGTGTGTGTGTGTGTGTGTGTACACATATGTAATATACAATAATAATAATATTTATTGAATCCAAGCATACTTTACATAAAAACAAAAACTTATAAAATTAAATTGACAAGACGTAAATCTAACTCAATACTATATTAAGGTATCTTTAGCAACCGTGCTTGGTCACAGACCTGTGTTGCAGCTGCTAAGCCCTCCCCATTAAATACATACCAAATAGAAAAACAAAAACATAAAGACAATTTTACCGCAATCAAGAAATGAATAAAAGTGGGAAGAAGTAAAATAATTTGCTATGTGATATGTTCTTAGAGCTTGAATACATTTGAAACATGTTAGCGTATATATCGTTATAAACATATAAACACCTCATAACTTTGTAACGGAGTGTCCGATTGAAGAGCAGTTTTCCGCATCTAAAAGAACCTTACTTAACTTAGATTTTCTTTGAATTTAGACTGAATCATCCGTATCCAAGAAAACTTTAAAAATTCGAATACATTTAATCTTCAAAAAGTAGTTTTCATGGAATTACTTCGACACCCTTATTTTGATCGATTGTAATCTAATCAGCTCTTCTACTCTGGAGACGCCAGTAACTTAAGGTTTTGGTGCATACGACAAAGGGGAAAATAAGTAGGTGGGATAGCACGCATTGACCCGATGAGGGCTGCCTCGCCTTCCTCCTGGAGTGTCCGCTATACAGCGGGCTCGCCACGTGGTTCGGCGCACACGCACTCTCGGAACAATTTCGTGAAGTCCCACACTCTCGACCTTTGCACTTACGGGGGCGTCTCACACTTTTATGAGTTACAAAGACACAATGTCTGATGCGGTGAATATTAAACATAAACAGGAGAACTCAATGTTCGTCCTGCGCGGTTCGCGGTTAATATATCTAAGACGCGACGGCTGGCCGTGCGTTGCGTAGAACGTAATGTCACTTAATATGACGCGCGCCGAGATCCTTTTCTTCACCTCGGCGGCAGCGCGTGCGGTAGGAAAGGGAAGGAAGGAAGGAATCAAATATGCACTAGTCATTTCATTATGTTGATAAAGTAGATATGACTTAGGACGAACTCAATGCGATATGTAATGTAATGTTGATAAAGTAGTTTGTTAACTGGCGATACCATTTCCTCCCGCCCCTAAAGGGTCACCTTTAAAAGACAACCGTAATATAAAAAGAAAAAGAAACAAATAAATAAGCGGTATATAAAGTGAGAGGATGCGCTCAATGCGCATGTCTCATCTACTAACCTTACTTGGTAAGCGAGAAAATGTATAACAATTTTAATTTTTATTTAATTAATTAACACCTTTTTAATACATATAAATATAAACTTAAATACTAATTTAGATAAATAATTATAATTAAAATAATCGTGATTTATTGTCTTGGGAGAGGGCAGATACGAACAACAGGACGGATGTATGTTCCATTAGTAGTTCTCACGGTCACTACTCGAACTACGCCATCCTTCGAAGGATGAATAGACTCTACAATCGCTAATGGCCAAGCAAGGGGCGGTTCATTATCATTTACGTGTCTGGTACGATAGCCGTCCATTTCTGACGAGCTTGTAATCCGTGAAGGTATTCCGTCCTCCACCGATCCCAAAACAACTGAACTAATTTATCCAGTAAAGAATGCCTTGTGTAACAGACTGGTATAGTCAGATTTGACTTCGGGTGCGGGTAATGACAATAAAGGTGCGGTATTCAAAAAATGACTCGGAGTAAGAGCTGAAGGCTCTGCGGGATCAGAACTTAATACTGTCAAGGGCCGCGAGTTTAGCAAGCACTCAATTTGCGCAAGAACAGTATTAAGCTCTTCGTATGAAAGTAACTAATGTCCGATAACTCGGAACAGATGCGTTTTCACGACCTTGACCATGCTCTCCCAGGCGCCTCCAAAATGAGGAGAGTTGGGACAGAAGAACTTCCATGTTATACGATTCTCAGCACACTCTTGCTCAAGCTTCGGGCGGTATTCAACGTTTAGAAATTTATAGAGATCGCGAAGGTACGAAGCGGCACCTTTAAAATTCGTTCCATTTTCCGAATATAAAAACTGAATCAGTCCTCGTCTAGAGAGGAAACGTTTAAGCGCGGCGAGGAAACTAGAACTACTAAGATCTGTAGCGATTTCTATATGCACAGCTCG